GATTTGTGGATGATTTAATGAAATTAAGTATGATCAAATTAGCGTATGGCTGCAATGGTTGTGCGTGCTAGACGGATGAATGTGCATTCGTTTCTAAACAGAACAGAATCTAATCCTAGTCGGATGTCTGGTTGCATTCTGATAGTGTATCACCGAGTGCATACATATCACTATCGCCATCGCCATCGCATGGCTATGATGTATGTTCCTTCTGTTTCTTGCTTCAATTCCGTCCGTTCAGAATGTCGATCGGCTGTCAGCAAGACCGCCTATGATGACGTCATATGAGCCGCAAGCAGCGCATAGAGCAAGACAGTGCACCATCACCAATTGAGGGGTTGAGAGAGAAAGAGCCAGCCAAGTTGCCCGTTGCTTGTCTGTTTGTGTATGTGAATATTGTGTGCTGCGCGCGTTTTGCTTGTTGCTCTGTTTCGCTCTCATCTCATCTCACATTCACACTTAACACCAGCCGGCTGCCGCCAACAGCCCTATTCGACTAGCCTTTTGGCAGGCTGATTGATTCTTCAACGACGATTCATTCCATTCATGCGATCACCTGTCTCCTCTCTTCAACATCAAAAAGAATTTATTTTAGTCTGCCGCTTACCCCAAGTTGATATCTCATTAGCTGGTAAAATACTGCCTCTCCTTTTCCCAATTTGGGAACCTTTGTGACTGGTGAGCACCCTTCATATGCCACAACAATAAATATCATTAATAAACTGATACGTATATACCTGTATGTACATATATATTATACTTATCAAATATTGACTAGTGCTTTGCTATTCATAAACAAACATTCGGTCATACATTAACACAGTGTCTAATTGCCTCTATTAACTGTGCTGCGAGTCATGGCAGGTACTAGCGAAGCGGAACCGGGTGCGTTCTTTATTTGCACTGAAACATCACCAAGATGTTATATAATTCAGCCGGTTGGTTCTTTCAACAAATTATTCATTTTATGTAACATTCTGTTAACGATTCAGTTCGACGCATGTCCTACTTTCAACAACAACCTAATACTTCAACGTGCAATCCATTCCTGAAGTTTAGTTGTTCAGTAAAGGAATTCATACACTGGCATTTATAAACAGATGATTTGTCTATATAAGCACATGTATCGCTAGGTAAAAATTATTAAACCTATATGCAATCATGAAAATTGCTCACAGAACACAACTGTTTCTCAAGAAAGAGTGTTTGCAATGGCTGCCAATATGCAACAATTGATCTTGATTTGTTTGGTCGAGCACTTCTTTCAATAGTGTTTTCAAATGTTTTTTTTTTCAATTCAAAAACAATCACTCTCGACAGTGAATGGCTTTGATGTGAGCGATCTTGAGAAGACGCTTATTTACTTTCACTCAAAAAATCACATCCAAAGCAAATTGTCAATTATTCATGTCGTATAATAGAACAAGAGCATAACACCATTGTAATTGTTTTCGTTTGTTACATATCTTCATTCTTAACACATCCTCTTTATATTAGCGATTATCATAAATCAAACTAAACAGCACTGTTCAATGACCATCTTGCTGCTGTAACAATATCTCATTGAAAAAACGTTCTGAAATGTTTCATTCAATCAGTGCCTATGAAACGAAACATCTGTATTGGTGATCGTACTTGATCATATACTTACTCATCCTATTTTCTATGAGTTTCTTTTTTAATCTGAACTGCTATCAAATAAGATAAACCTGGTAAACCTATCTTTTTTCCCCTCAAACATTGAACTCATGCCCTTTTATCAGTGTTTTTTTTAGCAACATTAGTCACCGATTTTTTTTCCTTACATTTAGCAGTAAACGCCAGTAAGCGGTTGACTTGCACAGAAAGTGTTTACTGAAAACGCATTTTTAATGCATTTAGTGAGTGTCACCTTTCAAGATGGCTGTTGCAGATTATCGATGATTAGTGAACAATTTCGGTTGACTACTTTGGTAGTATCACGCTATCTCATAGAAATAGCACTTCTTCAAAATTGCTGAATTTGCTTGCTCAATGCACTGATTGATGGTACATTTAACCATTCACATTGCTGCCATTCATTTGATCAACGCATCATAATGTTTGTCAATCACTGGTCAATGGCAATATCTGTTTCAGAAACAAATCAAAAGTTTTAAGTGAAACAGCGTAACCGTGCCATTGATGATTACATTCATGCGGTGAACATATAAAGAGCAATAAATATGCATATTTTTTATATTGTTCCTTACTGAATTATTGAAAAAATAAATAAATTGAGTGAATTTTCTTCAAGTTTATTGATCATTATCGCCTTCAGATTGTTTGCTCATGATTATCCGTTTCGCAAAGAAACATTTTCAGTTCGGACAATCCGTTGATCATGCTCTCGGAAAGTATCATTTTTAGAATCGTATATTTCAAAATGTACCACACTATGACAAATCAGCAAAAAAACTTGTCATTGAGTTCAATTTCTTTTTTTTTTGAGACGCTTTCAAAAGCGTCAATTTTTATTTGCTCTTCTGATCAAACAACGCAATAAAAAGTGATTGCAAATAGCGGAACTGTTGCATTTGCACTTCGTTTAGTGCAAGTTATCCACACGTTCGGAAGCATAAAGTATTTGAATTTGATAGATCGGCATTGCACTCAATCAAAGAGGTCATTGGTTACGCATTAGCGCAACTTATGTTATAGATCATTCTCTTTTCTTATTGACACTTGCCGCTCATTACCTCGAATTGCAATTTCATTTAATAATCCACTCGAATTGTTTCATATTCCTCAAGACAACACTTGGAACGAATGAATTATAAGACCAATTACACAAAATAACCATGTAGTATACACCTACTTGAATTCATTTTAGAATGGAAATTATCGGATTTTCATTCAGAAATGCGATTCGTCTCATTTTTTGCACAGTGATCTTCCTGAAGAGACATATTTTGGTACATGGAAAGTGCCAGATTCTTCATGTTCATTTGATTTAATTCAGCTCCGAATTGTGTTGAATTCGGAAACTATCAAAAGAATTGTGTTGCATCAAAAGATCGTTCCTGTCACAACGTTTATGTGAGTGTGATAACTGTTTCATTTCTCAGTTCGAATTTCTTTTTTCTAGGTGTTCACTTTCGATTAAGTTGCTTCATTTTTTAGAAGAATATTCAATAATGTGAATGTAAAGTGACGAATTTGAATGTTTCGATGTCCAAGCAAAATATCAGAAATGTCACTTGCAGGATGTTGTGAAATTATCTGTGAATTCGAGCATTTTTATTGTTTCCTCTTCCACAATCGCCTTTCGGTGTGATATGTTGTGCACAAAGAACACAGTCTCAAACTAACTGTTGTTCACTGATCGAATTATTCATGTGTTTATTTAAGACTCGGCAAAAGCCAACGTTAAAGTAAATTTTCAATCGAACCAATAAAGTTTTTAATCGCATTTTTCGTTTTCATTTGTTGAATCATCTGAAGAAATAGTGTTAAATGAATTATCATTCGTTGCTGGAATTGCTGTCTGAAAGGAAAGTAAGGACTGAATACAACGAATCGTCAAAACAATATTCTAAATTCAGATCATCGTAACAGGGCAAATATCGCCTCCTCCCCTTAGACACAACCTTTTATCACCCCGACGATTACTCAACAAATATCCAGCAGTCCTTACCATAAACTTCTGCTGGATAGTTATTTTCTTATAACTAACCTCAAACAGATGCTTTCTTCTAATCACCCATCAAAATTTAAGTGGCAATATAAAGAGTTTGCCAATTCTTATTGCAGTTTCTATATTGCCCTCCTTTATTTCAAAAATTGAACTCGTATACCGGTGAACAATAGAAACATAGAGCAGATATTGAATTAATTTTATTTTCCTATCTGAAGTAAAGCGTAAATACTGTTACATTTATTCAATTCAGAGGAAAGCAGATTGTTGTTACCCATCCTTAATGCTGATTTTGCTCTTATTTCACCATACGTTTTTCAATGACTCTTGCTTTTGCTACTCTGTTTTCCTTTTCTTTTGCAAGCGCAGGCCATTTTCCATATTCAGACGCCAGGTTTTTCATCAACTATTCGCACATTTTCTAGGCATAATCTGATACTCTTGTTCCTAAAAATCTCGTTATAAACTTTCTTAATCAAACAAGTGCAGTCTCTCCCTTCACATCCGAATGGTCGAATAATGAGGAGACTTTGTGCAACCCATTTTTCGAATAGTTCCATCTAACAATCAGATTCTGTTAACGACTTTCAAGTCCAAATAGCGTTGTGAAGAAATGATAGTAAAACAAAAGGAGAAGAGGATTATTTTTCTTACAAGCTGCACTCTATCTGGGTGGTTAGTTGAGGAAAGCGGTTGGTCGGCTGCATTTCCGTCAGGTCGTTTAAATTCACAAAACTCAACTCAACATCGATTTCGATTTCTTGGAAATATTTTATTATATGAACGGACGCAAGACTCGAAGGGTTTCGATCCATGGGATAGACCGTATTAATATTTTTCAGACGATTCCTGAAAATCATTCCAAATGTTTGACACCAAAAGATTCACTCTGATCAATTAAATATCGAATTTTTGTCCTGAGACACCGAAGCGTTTTGACGCACAATCGCATTCATTTTGACTGACATTTATTGCGAGTAATCAGTAGTGATTACCTTCATTTGGAACTGTTACCAACCAATAAATTTTATATTATATTCCTAATCTTCATCATATTTGTCTTTAAAAATATTCACTCCCCACTTCTATGCAAGCCAATGATAAGTTTGAGAGTGGAAAGTGACAAGAAGTGTGATTGAAAAAGAACGATAATCTATTGGAAATGGTCGACTAAGTGTAAATGGCTGAATGGAAGTGATCATGGTTCACTTTTTTGTGCAAATCACTTAAATTTTAGGTGAACGCAAATAATGTGGATAGAATGATGGGTGATATGCAGATGCAAATGGGTGAATATGAAACGCCGCCAACGCCGGCACTGCCTTGGTGGTTCACACCGGAATGTGAAAACCAATTGATGACCGTTTCGGAACCGACGTATACGCCAGCGATTCATACTGCAGCTCCAATGCTACCACGCCCTCCACCACCTTCGTCTTTAATTCGCCCACAACCCGAACAGATCAAGCAACAGCTAAAAGCTCAATTGGAATACTATTTTTCAAGGTGATTTCAACTCGTATTGAAGTAGCGATCGAGGAACTTTAATCAGTGAACTGTGTACATGTTAAATGTGTTTGAGACTCGTACTCTAACCACCACCCTCAACCGTCATATTCATCATTGCTTTTTATTCATACACACATCCATTCAATAAACTAACGTTCACCTCTCATCAAGTTCTATTATTTTTCCACGTATTGCCATCAAAAATTTTTTCTCTCTGATCAATCAACAACTAAAAGTAACGGCTAATTTCTTCTGTCTTAGCGCGGAAGCTGGCTTCTTTCTCTTCAAGGAAAATTCACTTAAAATTCTTCTCACTCTTTGGAATTCCAGAGAGAATCTCATGACGGATCGCTTTTTGAGATGTCAGATGGACAACGATCAGTATGTACCTATTGGAATTATTGCTGGTTTTCCGAAAGTTAAACGACTGACCAACGATTTCAATCTGATTGTACAGGTTTTACGAGGTATTTGCATTCCACTTTCATTCGATGAAGTTGATCACGGTTTTCTCACAAAGCGAAATCAATTCTATCTTGTTCGAAGGAAGCAATCATTTTCTTGTAAAAAAACAGAATTTACTTCTAAATTTGTCACAAACGTACACATCAATCTGCTGAATTGTTTTTGACTCAGTGCTGATTTAATGCATTCACAAGAATACATCTGATTTGGAGGATTCAGATATACTGCTGGTAAGAATATAAAGAAATCATCATGTAGAGATTGTTGAATAGCAGTGTAAAATTATGGTCGTATGCCGTTTTGAGAATTTGTGCGGGCCTTTCTTACGACTGATCTTTACATGATTATGAAAATACAAAAATTAGCTAGGAAGTAGGCGTTAGACTTGAAGATTGCAATTTTTAATTTGTGACCAATAATATTGTGCCAGTCGGATGCGGATGGTGCAATAGCCGTAGATTGCACGTTTGCTCGTCTGGCAACGTTGAATAGAATGTGTTTAATCGAAACAATTGTAGGTATAATGAGATATGGTTTTGATAAATGTTTGACATTCCTGTTGGGGAAGAAATGTTTGACATTCGCAAATTTTAAAATAATGAACGAATTTTTCAGAATCAACTCAAGTGCAAGTTGATGATTTGGGTGAGCGTGTACGAGCTGTTTCCAAACGATGCACAATCATATTAAGAGAAATTCCCGAAAGTACGGATGAAAAGGTGGATACTTAGTGAAATTTAGTTGACAGTGAATCGAAAACTGCTACATTCAAATTAATAGCGGTTGAAAATAGCAAAATAACAAAAATTCCTTCCTTCTTTCCCACAACTTTGCTTAATTACGGAACGCTTTTGTCAGCCATGCTCAGGAGTCATCTTCTTAATTGTTTATATCCATTGTTTTCTAGTCAGTGTTTCATTTGAATAGTTTAGGAAGTAGCATCAATGTTTGCTGGGGGACCACCATATATCAGTTTACGGTACGGTCTCAACAACAGTTGGTATGTGACTTTTGAGTCGGAGGAAGCTACGCAAAGAGCATTTCTACATTTGCAGAATCTTGGCAAGACGTTTAACAACAAGCCAATTTGTGTGAGCGATTCAGTTATTGATTGTTCTATGAATGAATAATCATGTCTTTTGATCGTCATTCCGTTCTCGAAATTCATAATCTGTTCATCTCATTAAACTGGTCATATCTAAGTGATTGATTCATTCTTATTTACAAACTCTTCAGGCACGCATAAAAACGGGTGGTGCACCTTGTTCAGAGCCACCTATCGTCATTACCGAGAAAATCGCTCCGGTTGTTCCACCCGAAGCAATAGTTGATATTCCCATTCCAGCTCCTCCATCAATATCTCCTTCTTCCTCGGGTATGTAGAATCAAAAATTCGATTTTCACTTCAAAGTGGAGAGTTTTCTGATTTTTCGGTGTTGACAGAAGTGAAAAAAACCTTTAAACGACTTCTCGAGTACTGCAGCAATTTCGAATGTTGCTAACTTAGCTTCATAAACTGAATTCAGCACTGAGCATCTGCTATGGCACTTCGATTGGAAATTTGTAGCTGCTCTACCTACAATTTATTGTTTCCAGAGAGTTTCGATCTAGGCCAAATTCTGGCCAGTTACGGTTATGTGCCACGAGCTACCTTCAAACCAGGAGCCACAGTGGTGCATGTTACTCCATCAGTTAATGTCAACACAATTCGGCCATCAACACATCGTATACGCACCACAGGTGTACATACCTCTCACTATAGAGGTAACCATAAGGTTTTCAAACTATCGTCGTTCCTCGTCGCATTAGAATAACTTTCTTAGCAATGCCAGCGATTTAAACTTTTGTTATATGATCTGTCTCATCATACCTCAAACAACTTTCAATTGTTGCCATTGTGAACGAACGGCTGTTACTTGCGTGGATTAGCTAATTTTGTAAAATTTTCGCAGCAGTTCCAATATTCGTTAGTTTTCAGAAAAGCTTCATGCATGCTGACATTTAGTTTGATAGAGTGATCCTTGAGCGAACATGAAGTCACTGAAAGTAAGGGGAAGCAAATCAGCAGGATTGATATGATGGAGTTTAAGGGGAAAAAAGCAGAAAGAAAACTAGATACGCTTCAAATGAAACATAAATTCGTGGACCAACTTTATGTTCGTTTGCTGATTGCGAGAAGGGATCTTACGAATTTGCTCTCAAGCCACGTGTTGCATCAATAAGCTGGTTGCGGTCATGAAAGATGAATCAACGTTTATGAACTATGATGATTTTTAATACGCATTATTCTTAAGTGAGAGTCTATGAAACTGCGATGTTGTGACCATGTTAGAGTTGTATCATTAATTCCTGCAAATGAAGTTCATTAGGGATCGGAATTTATTGAAGGATCAAACAGTCGTGGTCGTGGTTCAGCACCTTTGAATGGTTCAGTGAATCAAAGAGAATATACTGCGTATCGTGAGTACAATAACTGTTCATATCATGTTCATCATAATGTGAATCGGCGAGGAACTTCTCATCTAGAAGGATATCGCGATACATACCGGGAACGAAATGATACGTATCGACCGAAAACACGCTCTAATCGTCCCAACAGTTTCAGTTACGGTATATTCTTTCAACGAGACCTACACTCGG